CTGGGAACTACAGACTGGGGTGAAGCTGACATCGGTGGTGGGTAAGCTGTTGAAGGGAATCCTCAGGGACAGGATTTACATGTATTTGGAAAGGCAGGGACTGATTAGGTATTGTCAACATGGCTTTGTACATGGGAAATCATATCTCACTAACTTGATTGAGTCTTTTGAGGAAGTGGGTGACACGGTGGCTCAGTGGTTAGCACTGCTGCCTCATGGCACTAGGGACTCAGGTTCAATTCAACCTTGGGCAACTGTCTGTGTGGAGTTTGCACACTCTCCCCATGTCTGCTCGGGTTTCCTCAGGGTGCTCTGATTTCCTCCCATTGTCCAAAGATGTGCAAGTTAGGTGGCTTGGCCATGCAAAATTACCCTGTAGTGTTCAGGGATGTATAAGTTAGATGGTTAGCCATGGGAAATGCAGGCATATGGGCCTGGGTGGGATACTGTTTGGAGAGTTAGTGTGAACTTGTTGGGCCAAATGGCCTGTTTCCACACTGTAGGGTTTCTATGGATTTCTGTGAAGTCACAAAGAGGATTGGTGAGGGCAGAGAGGTGGATGTGATCTATATGGAACAAAAACAAAGTTGCTGGAAAAGCTCAGCAGGTCTGGCAGCATCTATGAAGGAAAAAACAGAGTTAATGTTTCGGGTACGGTGACCCTTCCTCAGAACTTCCTCTATATGGACTTCAGTAAGGTGTTTGACAAGGTTCCTCATGGTAGACTGGTTAGCAAGGTTAGATCACACGGAATACAGGGAGAACTAGATTTTTGGATACAGAACTGGCTCAAAGGTAGAAGACAGAGCATGGTGGTGGAGGATTGCTTTTCAGACTGGAGGCCTGTAACCAGCAGTGTAGCACAAGGATCAGTGCTGGGTCCAGTGCTTTTTGTCACTTACATAAATGATTTGGATGTGAACTTAGGAGACACGGTTAGTAAGTTTGCAGATGACACTAAAATTGGAGGTGTAGTGGACAGCAAAGAAAGTTACCTGAGTACATTTTGATCAGATGGGCCAATGAGCCGAGGAATGGCAGACGGAGTTTGATTTCGATAAATGTGAGATGCGGCATTTTGGAAAGGCAAATCAGCGCAGGACTTATACACTTAATGGGAAGGTCCTGGGGAGTATCGCTGAACAAAGAGATCTTGGAGTGCAGGTTCATAGTTCCTTGAAAGTGGAGTCACAGGCAGTTAGGATAGTGAAGAAGACATTTAGTATACTTGCTTTCATTGGTCCATTGAGTATAGGAGTTGGGAGGTCATGTTGCGGCTGTACAGGACATTGGTTCGAGCATTTTTGGAATATTGCGTGCAGTTCTGGTCTCCCTCCTTTATGAAGGGGGTTGTGAAACTTGAAAGGATTCAGAAGAGATTTACAAGGATGTTGCTAGGCATGGAATGTTAGAGCTATAAGGAGAGGCTGAATAGGCTGGGGCTATTTTCCCTGGAGTATCGGAGGCTGAGGAGTGAACTTATGGATGTTTATAAAATCATGAAGGGCATGGATGGGGTAAATAGGCAATGTCTTTTCCCCAGGGTGAGGGAGTCCAAAGCTAGAGGGCATAGGTTTAAGGTGAGAGGGAAAAGATATAAAAGGGACCTAAGAGGCAACATTTTCACAGAGGGTGGTGCATGTATGGAATGAGCTGCCAGAGGAAGTGGTGGAGTCTGTTACGATTACATTTAAAAGGCATCTGGATGGGTATATGAATTGGAAAGGTTCGAGGGATATGGGCCAAATGTTGGCAAATGGGACTAGATTTATTTAAGATATCTGGTCAGCATGGACAAGTTGCACTGAAGGGTCTGCTTCCTTGCTGTATATCTCTATAACTCTATATAATTAGCCAGGAAGGTTGAAAAATTCAGTAAAGCAGATCTTAGTCATCTTTTACTTTAAGAACAATAAATCTTTATTTTATTTGGATTTTGATGCAGGGATTTGTTTGCATGGTGAGATCGCAATGTGTGTTTCAAAATGTTTTCATTGCCGTTTTAAAAAATGTTTTATTTATAATTTGGTGCAAATTTGAAAATCCAATCATAACTTAAAGTGTTGTTAACCTAAGGTTTTAGCTTGATCATATTAAAGTCAGTGTAAAATGCTAATTTGGCAACGTACTTAAACATGTATACTTCATTTACTTGTAGAAATAAAAAGGAATCTATAAGTTCACATACCAGCCTTACGGCACTAATATAACTTACAACTTTACTATATATTGATTTTATGCTAAAAAGTAATTACTGAATGTCTTTTTAAAATTTTATCAAGCTCCAAAAAGATTAATGCATCGTATGTAGATTACTGACAGAAACTAATGCATGTTTATATGGTTCTGTGCCTACTTTATATAGTTCTCACTTTAGAATTGATAAGAAAATAAAATAATCCTCAATTAAATGTTATGTATATCTTGTAAAAGACTAAATATGATGGATATAAATTTTCAGAATATTTTTGTTTGCAAATTGAAGATATAAATTAAGAAACAATAATTCAAGTATAGAAGTGGATAGTGAGCTGGATTATTCTAATTGTAGGATTCATTGAAGGGCAATGATATCTGGGCACCTATTTTACATTGGGGAGACATTTAATAACAATTGATCTATGCAAAACTTTTAGTTTTCCTAGTTAATGAAGCATTCCCATTGAGATTAAAAGTATGCTAAGGTAGAGGAGGGTTGAAAATGAATCATGTTAGAGCATTCATGTAAAATATAGATGAATCCATACTTATTCACACTTTATAGATTTATCTCTTTGTTTGAGCAAATATACATATTACAGAATGAAAAGCCTTAATATTTTAATCTCACTCTATAATTTGGTGGTTTAGGGCTGTGTATTGGATTTCAAAATTATATTTTGACTAACTAACAAGTGGATAAAAATGTTGACTATTGTTGTAAGAAGGAGAGTAAGAGATCTTGGTTCAATTATGAAAGTAAATGAAGCACATAGTCACAGAGCCTGGAGATCTTGCATGTTTGACCTCTGATCTATGTATGTATAGAATCCCTACAGTGTGGAAATAGGCCCTTTGGCCCAAACAAGTCCACACTGACCCTCAGATATCCCACCCAGACCCATCCCACTAATCTACACATCCCTGAACACTATGGGCAATTTAGCACAGCCAATCCACCCACCCTACACATCTTTGGACTATGGAAGGAAACTGGAGCACCTGGAGAAAATCCACATGCAAACTCCACACAGACAGTTGCCCAAGGATGGAATTGAACCCAGGTTCCTGGTGCTGTGAGGCAGCAGTGCTAACCACTGAGCCACTGTGACACCTAATGGGTTAGCCAGTCTTTGCTGTATCAGCATTTAGGGCACTTGGTCTCAAGAACTAAAATTTCAGTTGTGTTCCCATGAGTCACTGCTCTCAAAAAGGGAGGGGAGAATGATGGATAGAAAGAAGATGAAAGACAGAATGTTTCCATGCTGAATCACACAGGCAATGGCAAGAAATTTGGGAGAATTGCCAGTCAGGTATTTCCTGACATTGAGAGCAAGAAGTACCATTTTTCAACCAACTGTTGAACGGTGAGTTGAGGTTTTCGTTAGTGAATGGTGAGAAACCTACTTACATGCATTAATATCCTCATTATTTTGTCATTTTCCTCAATGAGCTTCAGTTTCCTGTTCTCCCACCTGCCAGATTGAAACTAGATGGAGACAATTTTCAAAATGTAAGTCAGACAGATAACCTGGTGACTTTAGCTTGGTGCTTGCTCATCAGGCCCTTAATCAGTCACCAACATCTCAGCAGCTTCATGGGCAGCTGCTACACCATCCACTTGGACCTCCAGTTGGTACAGCAGGCTGCCAATCTGTTGACATGTCGGGGGCAACTGAAAGGAAGCTTGCAGGGCAGCAGTGGACTGCCAGTCTTTGACTGGGTGCACGGCTGGCCTTTAAAGATGGCGCGGGCTGGAAATCCTGAGATGTGATGGGAGTGAGAGGATAGAATAAACAGGGTGCCATAGAATCATTGTGCATAGGTAATGACATGAGTTTTGGGACGATGGTGTGACAAAACTCGTGAAGACACATGGAGAGAAGCCCTCCATGAAACTTTCCAAATTTGGCACTTTTGTCAATTTCTGATCAGATTCTGCCCAACAAATTTAAGAATTTCATAAATATGCATCTAATTATTTTCCTATTTTGTTAAATTGATTCAAAAAGTTTCTTCACAAAAGGAAAGTATTTTAATAGTTATTGCATTGAAAACAACACTTCTGAGTTGATTAAAATGATTGCTAATTAGTTATTCATATTCACCCTCCTTGTCTTGCACTCGGAATTAATGGAGCAGAATACTCAATTAGAGCTCAACAGCTAAGGTAGAAGAAATGAATTGCATTGCTGTTATTTTCAATGCTTTCTGCAAAGCTGCTGCATGAAACTGGCAGCTTGAAACAGATATGTATGTTCCAAGCATTCTCACCCAGCAGTTGGACTTCCTTCACATGCCTAGCATTGTCTGTGCTGGTGAGTCAAAATTAAAAGGAATATAAATTGATTTTTTTTAAAAAAAAAACTACATTGACTGTGTGTTTATTCTGATGGGCTTTCAGTTTACTTTTAAATTTGAATGTCAATGCTGTCACCTTTATGTTAGCAATGACAGTTACAAGCGTGTTAAACACTGCAAGCTAGCTTAAATACAGGGGCTAAGTTCTGGAATTCTTAGCTTCAAAAGAAGTCATTTCTTCATAACATTGGACCTTCATTTAGCATGAATGACTCTAGTAGGTCTATGGCACAGGAAAGAGACAGTGCCAGCTGTCAAGTGAGAGAATAGAAGTCATTTATTGTCATTTGTATTTTTTACAAAAAAAAACATGGCGCCTATAATAATAACAGTAGGCATAGATAAGACAAGAATAAAAAAAATTAAGATAAAGTCCAGTTTAGTTAAATTCACGGCTACTGGGTTTGGGAAAAGACAGCACCGCTGCAAGACGACCATACCGGTTTGCTGGAATACTGGGCTGGAAGCCACTGCTGAAGCAGATCATCCACACCAGGCTGCTGGAATCCCAGGCCGTAAAACTCTGCAGATGGCATGCCAAGAACCAATCTCATTGCCGGTCTCTGATCCTGGGAAGGGAGATGTCGCAAAGTCCACCCAAATGAATCTAGATGCCAGGCTGAAACCACCCCACCACTGAAGCCACTGCCGACCTGTCCATTGGAATCCCGCGCTGTGCTGCCGAAGAAGTAAACCACCACCAGACATAGCCACAATGGCCATGAGGAACTGCCAAGGCCACCGCAGCAGCTGCCCAAAACATGCCTCTACCAGCTCCAACGTAGCAGCCGACACCGGGACTCCATGACCACCCGTCCGCCAGCCATCTCCTCGCCATCATCCATCAGAGTCCCACTCTGGCCTCACCAGTCATTGCCACCTTCTGCCAAAAGATGAGGAAAGTAAGAGCGAGAGTGAAAAAAGAAAAGAATAAAAGAAGAAAAGAAAAGTGGACGGAGTGGATGAGCCCCGGGCACAGGAGCCCGGACACTGGCTACTCTGCCGCCGCCATCTTGATTCAGTGTCGGGGCAAGAGGTTAAATGTGGAGGGATGTGAGATATCAAACAGTGGAGACAGTAATGTGGGAATTAAGAGTTACAGACTGGCAGGAAGGGACAGAAAGAAAAAGAACAGAACACAACAACAATCAAGGCTTGATATTTCAAAGATAACAAAAAGACAGAAGTAAAGGCTTTACATTTGAATGCAGGTAGCATTCAGAACCAGGTCAACAAAATGACAGTATACACTGAAGTAAATAAATACACAGAGTAACTAGGAGGCCAATGCACAGACAGGAGGTTAAACTAGCAATAGAAGGTCAAGAGGGCAATGTCAGAGAGGAAATGGTCTGTCAGTTTCTGCTTGCTGGTCACCACATGAGGCCTTTGGCATTGGGATGTACCATATTTCCACATATGCACAGGTCCTGTCATGAACAACATAGTCTGCATCAGACTAAATATCTAAGCCACTTTACAGAAATGAAACAGGAAATATTTCTATACCCAGGATAGTGTGTCTCAGATTTTGAAATCTACTATTGCATTTAGAATGGAAAAAGCAGAGGAAGTGAGGAGGAAACAGACATGTTCTACATTTGCTGTGTGTCATCCTCTGCATTTGTGTCTGTCTTTGAATCTGACAATATTGTCTGTGTCTGGCACTATCTATGTATTGTACCTACGTCGACATGTTGAAATGAACAAAACACATTTAAATCTATGTAAATGCAGCAACAGGTTAGTTCGTAACAAGACAAGAGTGCCCTCTTGTGGACTATTACATGAGGGTGACTCCATCACCTGTCAGAATGTTAAGTAATGCAATTAAATTCAACAGAAGGAAGCTTTTTAAAAAAAAAGTAAAATACGCAGGCCAGAATCTCCACGTTTCTGAACAGGACTTCTAACTATGGGCACTTCAGAAATCCAAAGTGTTCTTCCATTGGAATCTGTCTTTGTAACACGGAAAGGAAGGCTGCACTCCTTGGATTTTTGTAGAGTTATCTGAGGGGATCTGACGGCCAGGACTATTAATCCAGAGACAAAGGTAATGTCCTGGGAACCTGGGTTCAAATCTCACGATGCCAGAGGGTGGAATTTGAATCCAATCAAAAAAAAATCTGGAGTTAAGAGATAGTAGGAACTGCCGATGCTGGAGAATCTGAAATAACAAGGTGTAGAGCTGGATGAACACAGCAGGCCA